GACTAATCGACTATTAAATTAGTCATCGGCTATTTTAATAGTCGATTAGTCGTCGACTAGTCGACTAATCATGGCAGCCCTATAATTTTGTCGACAGACAGACAGACAGACACGACCGAAAACAACACCTCCTCCCTTGGCAGAGGTAACAAATATAGACTACATGTCACTTATTCAAAGTAAATTAAATGCAAAACTACACAAATGTGAAATTATAGCATGACTTAAGATGCATCTGAGTCATTTACTGTTAACCATTCAGTCGACATTTACTGTTAACCATACAGTCGACATTTACTGTTAACCATACAGTCGACATTTACTGTTAACCATACAGTCGACATTTGCTGTTAACCATACAGTCGACATTTACTGTTAACCATTCAGTCGACATTTACTGTTAACCATAAAGTCACAGTTAAGAGTAGAAGAATCAATACTAGAAATTAGGGCTGGGCAATATGGCCTAAACTCAATATCACGATATATTGACCAGTTTACCTCGATAACAATAAATGCACGATAACTCTTACCACCCCCCCACTACACACAAGTACACGGTATAGTAGAGTGACTATACTATAGTCATAACACTATACACTGTGTCCATGTTCTTAGTCAAAGTACACAGTTTAGTAATCTCTAATGAAGCGTTATACAAAAATTTTAACCTGAACCATTTGGACCAAAGGGATTTTGTAAGGAAGAGTTTGATTTCAAACAGCTTTTCTGTAGTTTATCATTTTAGTGTATTTAATATATTTAATAAAACATTTTTGTCAAGACTTGAGTCAGATATAGTCATACAAATATGTAACCATCTTCATAACTTTAAACACATTATATTTTAAAAAAATATGCCAATATGTCTTTTGTACAGCACAAAATAACTACATTTTTTTATTTGTTAGAATGGCTGATTTCTCTATTAAAATAACTATTGCTTTCAAAATTATCATATTTAGAGAGCTCATGTAATCATTTATACTGTTTATTCTTCATATTTGATCATTTAATGAATCACAGAGCAGTTCAGTCATTGTATGTTTCTAAATATAAGCAAGATATATTGTGAAGAACGAAATTTGTAGATATTTATGTTAAGAACATAGCATTTTTTTTTGTTTTATTTTATGTTTTGTTTTGTTCTTGTTTAGCTGGGGTGGGCGGCTAACGCTAAGCGAAGACTCGTCTTTTCTATACTGGGGCAAAGTGTTCATCTGAGTTAATATTTTGGAAGAGCAGTGGCTCTCACAGAACTCAGCCTGTGTGCATCTCGGCACGCTAACGCAACAGCGCTGTTGAGGAGTTTGGTCAAGGTCATGCGAGCAAAGTTGGACATATCTGTTAGATAACGATGCTCTGAACACAAACTTAGTGTGTTAGAGTTTAGATACAAACGTCTCTGGTAGATCGGGAGAGAAGTGTGGAGGACGGGGTTTGTTCACTCAGGACAGGAGCTGCAGGCTGACCAGTGTTCACCCTGCAGACTGCTGCACCCACATCAGAAAGCCCCACACTGCTCTGCTCTGACTGGATAAAGCTGTGGGGTTCATTTGGTTTGTTGAAAGCAGCGTCTGTTTAAACCAGTATCAGACTGGGCAGCTTTAACGAGACCGCAACAAAAAACAAGCAGATTCTCCGACATGGGCAAAATGACGCTGGTCATGAAATTAGCATATCATGCTATAATTTATTTTCCTGGGCAAGTTTTTTTTACTGGTATTATTGTGAATGATTTGATATGGCACAGCCCTACTAGAAACAGAATACAAAAAACTAAAACTGTATAAATTAAAAAAGAAATAATGTCCAAAAAAAGACCAAAAATATCCTATATCAACAATCAGACACTTTAATTAGATTTTTTGTAAACATCACAATCTTTCGATGCCGCATTACCAAATAAAATGAGGTTAAGTTGGGCATAAAATAAAAATAAATGACCTTCATTCATTTCAGTGTAGTTTAATTTTATTTAACATCATTTACACTCCAAAATAAACTTAAAAACTAAAGGTACAAGGCCCAAACAGGAGGCAGCAAGGGCAAATGTGGCAGATAGCTACACACTTAGTTAGCAAAAAAAAAAAACAATAATAAAAAAACTTCAAAATTAAAATAAAAACATGAATGAATTAAATAGAAACAAAATACAAGTTGTGTGATGTCAAACATTTTTTGTTCTATGCCCGTTCCCTATGCAAAGGTTTTAGAGCGTACTGCCACCTGCTGGTCCGTAAAAGAACAGCCCTTTGCCACGAGTCAACTATAAAACTGCAAAACTATAAACGCAGAAGCCGCACAGCTCAGTGCGCTCGCGCTAGCCCGCGGACCAAAGCTCGAGTACATCTCAGCCTTTATTCCCACATCTCTCTCTCAGCAGATGTTTCTCTGTTAATTAGTAATTACTCAACACTCCACTGACGATACCACGTCTGGTAATACCTTATACCGCCCAACCCTATACCTAAAATAAATGTGCCAACAGTCAAAAGAAAATCAGCAGAATAATAATCTAGTTTTTTGTTATTGATCCTACTTAAAATACAAAAAAGGCACTGTAGGCACACAGCAACTCCACCACCACAAAACATGCATTGTTCTGTGGTACTGAGGAAAAATAAATGTCCAGAAATTAAACTATCACGTCAACATGACCAAGACACTGAGCAACTGCAGGTATCAAATCACCTCATCATAAATAGGTACTTACGATCATCGAGATATACTAGAACTAGAGAGGAGACCAGAATCTGGAAGCTGAAGCCACAAAGCACCAGCACCACTCACAAGGCTGGCTCCAGGACAGGTTTTAAGTCTCGCTCCCTCTATGTAAATAAACTGATGGAGTTTACGTAATTTTTATGTTCAGTTTCAGTTAGTTAATTTAGGCATTAAAAAAAATGTTGTGTTAGACTGTGATTGACAGTATTACAGCCTATTAGGGAGCTGGAAGGGTTTGTAGGCGGGACTTTTGTATCCAGGCTACAACCTCACAAACAGGTGAGGAAAATGCTGGCTACAGAAATACAAGAGGGCAGCGCCCATGAATAAAGGACATTTTGGCTTTTTTTTCAAGGAGGTTGAGAAGCTTCTTCTATCTTTCTTTATTAATAATGTTGACGTTATAAATTAAATTACTTTGTTTTTGCCCTTTTAGGAACGCACTAATCTTACCAAGCATCTATCAGCAGAAAGACCCAAGATAAAAAATGTTTTTACACTCATCTACTCCTGACATTTATATTAAATGTGATATTAAGCCTGAAAAGATAATTATTCCAGCAACCAGAATGCTTTTCAATAATTTACTTATAAAATACATTCATTATTTCACAAAAATCAACAAAAATGCTTAAACGTCATTTCAAACACCTATTAAATTCCTTCATTCCCCAACATTAACACTAATCTTACAAAATGTGATTACTTCTACCAAGGTTTGTACTTTTTTGTTGCCTTCAAAGAGTTGATACTTTGGAGAACCCACATTTATTTAGTTGTGTGAAGCAAATGAGTAAATCCTTAAAACAGAAACCAACATAAGTTTTAGATCTGCGTTTTGTCAACAATAAGACAATAATAAATACAGGAAACCAGCCAAAATAAGGTAAAATCATTTTATAGTCCAAGACTAGTCTTTGTAAAGGTTGAGAGATTTTATTTAAGCTCCAACAGGCAGCTAATTTTGCCCAAAACGTGATGTGCTTCAATTTTAAATAAGTTAAAACGTTTAAATAAAAGATAAAATCAAGCAACTCCAAGTTTTATACAGTTAAGACAAGTATGAGGAAACAAATGACAGCTACGACTATAATCATTGGGTATTTAGTTAAATTAAGCGCTATTATTATTCAGCGTCTCCTTTAGTCAAGTGGAGTCAGAGGAGTCCGCTACAAACCTGTAGTAGCACAAACTCGGGATAACTTTATGCAACTTTAAAAAGGACATATTGGTATCTGCTTAAACTAAGCCAAAACATCTACTGCATTTCATTTTTGCAGTAGTTTGATGCATGACTAGTCAAATTCAGTCTGTTCCCCAGGCGAGGCCCAAAATTGTCAACAGTCCTGAAAGCAAAATGTTAGCTTAGCGGCTATTAGCAGCTAATTTTAAGTGACGACATGATCAGAGTTTATGACGTCGACTGCAAACTAACTTCACTAAAATAGATTCTCGTTTCCAGTTGACTAAATAGATTTGCAGTTTAGCGTGAGTAGTTAGAAGTCTTGCGAATAAAAATGAATAAAAAGAGGGCAGGGATGCATTTGAATTAGCTAAAGTGCGCTAGCTAGCGGCTTAGCTTAACGCTACTCACATTTCTTGAGCCACTTCATCCAGGAGCGGACGATAAGGCCGTGGTGTTTCTTGTTCTCGATGCACCACGCTGAGAGTCCCTGTATGGACTCCATGGTGTTGGATACTCCTTGAAGGCGGCGGTCCAAGGTCGTTTCCAGTGCAGCCGTGGAGCTGCGTGTTCCCGGGCCGCTTGCAGCCGCTGAATCGGCCGCCATCTTCCCAGCTCCGACTGTAAATGATGGGGATGGAGGAGTCGCTGGAGTAAAAAAAAAAAAAAAAAAAAAAAAGGGGGGGGGGGACACATAGAGGGATAAACACGCCCCCCTGTCTTTATATTTAGAGATACCAAAGCCAGGGGTGTCACTATGTTTTAAGGACAAGGGGGGCTTAGCCCCCAGGAGACGCACAGAATTTTTATATATTATATACTTGTATTGTGTGCGTGTGTATGTGTATATATATATATATATATATATATATATGTGTGTGTGTGTGTGTGTGTATGTGTGTGTATTTATATATATATATGTGTGTGTGTTTGTATGTATAGCGCAAAGTATCATTTCAGTAACATTTAGAGAACAATACCTACACTTTCAGATTATTTTTTTTCCAGTTATTTTTAAATCATTCAAGGCCAAATAATATTTTGACATCACATCAAAAATACCCCAAAACTGAACATTAAAACTATTTTACATTATAAATTAAAGGGAAACTGACAGATTTATGATCATATATTTTAGTCAATAATGTAATATTAAATGGTTATTTATTCCGACCACATCATATTGAATTTTTTTGTAAAAATAAATAAATAATTTTTACACCAAAATAATTTATGGGGGGGCTTTAAAATATTTTAGGGGGGCTCCAGCCCCCCCAAAATAGGCCTAGTGACACCACTGACCAAAGCTACGTATTCTAGCTTAATTTGCATAAAAGGGCTAAACAATACATTTTAACATCCTGATGCATCTCAGTAATCCAGGTAGGAAAATTCAAAAAGAAAAAATAAGTAGATCCTCTGAATGTGTTCTTCTTTAGTGAAACATTTCGAGACTTCTTCAGTCTGATGAGTTTCAGGTAAACTCAGCCTTATAAGCACTGCCTCCACCTGGACAAACAGGTTAGTCACGTGGAAAAGAGATACAGAAACACATTTTAACACATTTCACAAGGCAAAAAAGGGGTCACGTTTTTGTTTATTTGAGGCAGTGACTGCACTGTTACAGAGAAATGTGGCTACAGCTGCGTCAACATGAATTGCTCACTTATCCAAATCAAAAAAACACATTTAGGAATCTGAAAATCTGCAATGCCTATTATCAAATAGGTGCTTTTTAAAGCGTCGTTTAATCTAAAGTGAGTAATTCTGAATCAAGATCACAAAATATCAGTCATAACTTCAGACGATATTTTCTTGTTCTCGTATAGTCTTGGTTTTTACATCACGCGGTGCAATCTGTCTATAAAAAATATGACAGAAAAGCCTATATATCACCAAAGAAATCAACACTGATGCAAACCAACTCGCACATGCTCCGCTCAACACGCCCTGAGCTGTCCCATTCTTACAAAACATCATCCTCACGTTTATTGTTCATCTTTTTTCTGTCCAAGTCTCTTGATGAAGCCCCTCCAGTACACGGTGAGAAGAGGATTTTTGTTCCTGTGAATCTGCAGGCGCGATGATGAAAAAAAGTCGGACGGGAAGGAGGCGCCTCGCTGGAAGGTTTCAGTCGTCCGTGCCGTCCAACACGCTGTGGCTGAGCGCCAGGTCCCAGTAGTGCTCGGTGCCGTGCTTCCTGAAGTGCTCTCGAGCCATGCTCTCTGTGGGGCACTGCTTGAATTTCATCTCTCCAAAGCTACGCTCCTTCGCTGTTCCCTAGAGAGGAATCGTGGGAACTGAGTGAGATCAAGAAACCAAACCAAACACTCCAACATCAGCAAGCAGCAGGAAGCAAAACGAGTACACTCACCTCCCAAATCAACCAACACTTGTTGTTCCTCTTTGCATCGTCATCGCCATCTGGATCTAAATATGAACAGGCAGGAAAAAAGTTTAATGATAATAAAACACGACAAGTAGCAGAAATAAAGCCATGAAACAACATTTATACCATCTCTTTTGGAGTTGTGTTCTTCCCACTTGATTCTGTGCGTCATCAGCCTCTTGAACTTTTTCTGGGATTTAGGGCCTAAAAGAGAGAAAACAAACTGTTACTTCACCATAACACATAGGGATGTTGACATGTCGTCAGCAGCTGCTGCCATTTTCTTCACAAACTGCTGTGACCAGATTGTGCAAGCTGCACTAGTGTGTTTGCTGTTATTTCCTCCTGCTTCGTTATTTCTATGAATTTCAACAAACCGCGCTGATGTCAGGTAGTTAGCTACAGCCTCGTCTTCCAGTTTTTAAGTTTTGTTGATGCGTTTTGAAGAGACACTTTTTTGAAAAGAGGATCAAAGTAAATCAAATGAGTTTTTCTATTGAACCTTAAAAAGATAAGCTGCCATGAAGAACATTATTTTATCTGTCATTGTTCCAAATTTGATAATGATTTGAAACGTAGAAGTATGATTTTTTTAAATCCGAAATAGTGCTTGTTGCAAAGTGTTTTGACGCTCGTCTTCATCACCTGACACATTTAACACGCTGTCTTTGGTTGAGGTGCTTTGTTTACAAAACAGATGTCCACATGGTTTTTAAATTGTTTTAATTTCCTTGCTTTGTAAGGCACATTAAGTTGATTTGATGCAGCTGTAATATTATTTTATACCTTTTCTGCTATATCTGAATTGGCTAGTATTAAGTTTTATTAGTTTTTAGGATACAAGATGCTTCCTACAAAAAACAGAATGTGAATCTTTTCCTAAAGTTTCATGGCGATATGTTGAACACTGAGGAAGTTATGAACAAAAATAGAAAACAAGGTGAAATGATCCCATTGGTTCTGCTGTGAACTGCAGCAAGAAAACATGAGCTGATTTCACCTGAACCAACATCAATAACTTCCCTCAGACTTCAGATAATCACATGATTTTGGTGTAAATTTGTAGGTTTGTAAAGTTCTTTTACATAATATAAAACAATAAAACAAAAACACCAAACCAGCATGCAGTTCATCTAAGAACACACCACAGAAGGATGAAAATGCAGAAGATAAAATAATTTTTTTTTACCAAAAAAAGTTGTTTTTTTAAACTATTTTACATTCAGCTTTTTTTTTTTTACTATTCTACGTTCAGCTTTTCTTTTTTTACTATTTTACGTTCAGCTTTTTTTTTTCTTTCTTTTTTTTTTTTTTGTTCCCAACCTGGGGGGTGTCAGCTTGTCTTGAAGGTAAGAAGGGGGTCTTTGAGGAGAAGAGATTTGGAACCACTGGTTTAGCTGCTACAGTGAATATCAGTCATTTCAAATTGACAACTTTCATTCCTGCTACCAATTTATTTAAAAAGAAACCATTTTTTCTACACTGATTTACCATTGAAATGATTAAACTAACTGCTGAATGATAAAAACTGTTGAAAGTTATTTCATTTCTTTTTGATGCTCTTAGTTTGAAGTTTAGCTGCTAAACTGTGTGCTACACAAAGAGGGGATCATTTTTATTTAACTGGGGATAAATATCAGAGTTTTACACGTGATGTTTTTTGTGGTCTTTCTAATCAGTAGCAACTCATTTAGTGGAAGCTGCAGTAATTGGTGCACTAACTGTTTTTAAAGTCAGTAAAAGAAGCTAATGCAAATGAGAAGCTAGCTTTGCTATTATTAGCAGAACTGCTGAGTCAGGTGAACAGTCAGGTGTTTGTTACTCGTTAAGTCCTACAGAGTTTAAATTAGAGGTGTCCCGATACCGATACCAGTATCGGTATCGGATCCGATACC